TGTTATCTATTTTCTATTTTGTTAATTCATTAGAAAGCTTTTACAAGTCTTAAATACGATAAAGTCTATGAGTCATTCGCCAATTTTACCTCCCAAAAAAATCACACCAACAAACAAGAAAAATTCAGTTTAAGACCAGGTACACATTAGTATTTTGACACATGCTAAATAATACTGGTGTAGAGTTACGAGTGGAGCAAGTGTAATCTCCGAAATAAAACACTCTACTTCAGAATAAAAGAAGGTAGAATAGCAAAAGAAAACGGCTTTTGAAATTTACATTTGGTTTACCAATCAACGTTTGGAAAACTTTTTAATCTTTTACCTTTCCGACATTATAATCCGTATGAATGAAAAAATAATTTAAGATAAACCAATCGTCATACTACACGATTCTGGTAAAGGATCCGTTGATACTAAACAAGAGAGTGCATGTTGATTTACGGGGGACAAGGCCCCTCTCCTCTCCTGCACTCGCCCTGGTCTTAAGGGTGATGAAGAAAACTTGCAAAATAATGTAAATACTACAAAAAAAAAGTTTACTAGTTTACTATGCGGAGCCCCCAGTGGCACAGCGGTATGTCTGCGGACTTACAACGCTAGAAACTGGGTTTCGATACCCATGGTGGGCAGAGCACAAATAGCCCATTATATAGCTTTGTGCTTAACTTCAAGCAAACAAACAAATACTATGCGGAAAGCCTTATTAACTAGCCTGGAATTACACCAACAACAGTGTCCATCAGACAAAGGTACTCTTTCTATACAGTACATTGTACTATACTAAATTTTAGATGAATGTTTCAGTTTACTGGCCGGACGTGGGCTATGTTTAGAGTGTTTGGCTTCGAATCAGAAGCTTGAAGGTTTGATGTGCATTATGCAGCTAAACACTATTCGAACTTTCAGTTGTGGGGAGCGAATTCAATCTTGCTATTTGGTAAAGAGTAAACTATGGGCGACGGACGCTACTGGGGAGTGAATTCAATCTTGCTAGTTGGTAAAGAGTAAACTATGGGCGATAGACGCTACTGGGGAGTGAATTTAATTTTGCTATTTGGTAAGGAGTAAATTACGGGCGACGGACGCTACTGGGGAGTGAATTAAATCTTGCTATTTGGTAAAGAGTAAACTATGGGCGATGGACGCTACTGGGGAGTGAATTTAATTTTGCTATTTGGTAAAGAGTAAACTATGAGCGATGGACGCTACTGGGGAGTGAATTTAATTTTGCTATTTGGTAAAGAGTAAAGTACGGGCGACGGACGCTACTGGGGAGTGAATTAAATCTTGCTATTTGGTAAAGAGTAAACTATGGGCGATGGACGCTACTGGAGAGTGAATTTAATCTTGCTATTTGGTAAAGAGTAAACTACGGGCGACGGACGCTACTTATGTGGTTATACCCCCTTTGATGATCATGCTGTAAAATATGGATGGCTAGATTCGAACCTTAGAAATCTCTGTCCTGACCATTTAGCTCATGTTTCACGTACCAAATGATTCATTCAATCATTTCCAAAACTGATTTGGCGATGTCACCAAAGCTCACAGTTTTCAACAGTTTACAGGTATAATTTAAACTAAAATTAAATATCAGAGAAACTATTGAAATTGAAAAAAGAACAAAAATGTATTAAACAAGGAAGCAAGTCCAGAAATAATAAAGTACTGGACAGATGTGTTGTAACTCTGGATAGCTTAAAATCTAGATGGCGTTTTGATATGTAAATGTTTATGTGGGTATATAAGTCACAACCTTGCTGTTACCGTTACTTATGAAGTAGGTGCCATAGGACACCGAATCATATAAACACATATAAAGTCATTTTAGGGCAAGACTTCGTTTTAAATTACTATTTATTGTGTAATGATTTTAACGTCGTGTACCTTTTAATTGTAAATCGTTTAATTCTGGTTTATATCTTGGAAATTGTATAATTTTATTTGTCTTGAATATCTTGTTCGTTGTATATAAGACACGTAAGTGAAATATTAAACATAAGGTATTCGGGTTCATAAACATTGGTGCGTGAGATTAGTACGGGTTTACGAACTTACTTTCATGTTGAGTGCATCAACAGGGCCTAAATCTTTTTTTGTTTGTTTGTTTGAATAGAATTGAAGTAGCAGAATAATTTATAAGTGTGTGCGAAATGTAACGATGAAGTGCATGGATTTATAGAGTTTCTATTTTAATGCATGCCGCACTCGGCATGATAATGCGGTTCATTCTTGCATATAAACATCAAAAGACTGTTTGTCAAGTTTGTGTTGGAACAGCCCCTGGCCATGAACAACTCAACCGTGACCCAGATTGTTTGTGTATCGAATCTAAACAAGTCCGAATGATTCAGTGAACAAATTTAGAGTTTCTTAATTTAAGCATTCTATATATATATCTCATGAATTCTGCTGATGATTCAATTAATTTTTATGTGTACGGCAGGTCGACCGAACCGAAGATATATTTGTGTAAATTACAAAGACGTTTATTAATTCGGTCATAAACTAGTTATTTATTTAATTAACCTTGGTTAATTATCTTCCACCGAGAATGATTTATTTAGCTTTCTTCGAAATATCATTTATTCTTATGAAATATTTAAAATAATTCTACTACTAGTGACAGCTGGTGGTATGGTTATCAACTTAATGATTACAGCAGTATGATTCGACTTGGAAACATTTGGTACGACATGAAAGGAACCCCCCTCCAAAAAAAAACGTGGATTTCTAATTCCGTGCAATTTTTATAGAGGGTGCCTCGATGATTAGTCATTTCAATGGTATGGTACATTCTTGTCACATCAAAATGTTAATATTTTATAATGAGATAAACCTGTACATTCCCATACTATAAGACCGACAGCACCTTACACACACTGACCTGAAGACGAAAGGCGGAAGTCTTTCGAAACGTCATCCTCTACACTTGAGTCTCTACGACAGGCTGTTGCTGTCCATTCTACAAAGTTTCCTCTGTACATTCTCAATTTCCAACGGCATCACTTCGTATTGGTTTATTTGGCTTGTACCCATAAAACCTTTGAAATAACGATAGAATTTTACATGCAAAAAACATTTCCACAAATGATCGGCCTCCTTCCTCATTGTTATTTTGTTCTAGTTTGGCTATTTCGTTAATATCTACGTTAAAGATAATTATACTAAATTAAATGCAAGCGCGTGGTAAATTGAGTTTACTTCAAAGTACTGAAGTTATACAGTATAACAAAGATCCTGTGTATAACTATACCACCAACAAAGAATGCGTATAACAAAGATCCTGTGTATAACTATACCACACTCTCTATTGGTGGTATAGTTATACATAGGATCTTTGTTATACACACTCTCTATTGGTGGTATAGTTATACACAGGATCTTTGTTGTACGCATTCTTTGTTGGTGGTATAGTTATACACAGGACCTTTGTTATACGCACTCACTGTTGGTGGTATAGTTATACACAGGATCTTTGTTATACGCATTCACTGTTGGTGGTATAGTTATACACAGGATCTTTGGTATACCCACTCACTGTTGGTGGTATAGTTATACACAGGACCTTTGTTATACTCACTCTCTATTGGTGGTATAGTTATACACAGGATCTTTGTTGTACGCACTCCCTGTTGGTAGTCTTGTTCTGTAGAAGATCAACGTTGTACACATTTCATGGTTATGTTTACTTATAACTGCACATGCTCTAGATAAGCCTAATATAACATACTTAATTTCAGTTTTTTGCAGAGCGTAAAGTGCTTTACACATGTTAACTCGTGTATCCTAAAAGAGTTGTGCCGCTCATTTGTTGTGTGCATTTCAATGTTTTGATGAATCAGCAAGAACACAACTTACTTAATACAGACATTTTCAGCACCTATTCTCTGTTAGTGGTATTTCCACATTGATGCTAATAAACCATTAATAGTTTCTGTAAGGCTTAAGAGCAGTAATAAATCAGGAAGCAGGTAACAGGTAAGACGGTAAATAATTTCTTAACCTACAAAATGTCTTCAGGTTTTATAACTTATCCACACGTAAAATATAAAAAGTTTGAAAAATGCCAGGAGAAAAGATACGCTTATTCCTTCCTCAGAGACTTTATTATTCCTGGTGCCTTTTTATTGTCCCCCAATGGGACAGCAATAAGTTTACGAACTTACAATGCCAAAATTCGGGGTTCGATTTTCCCCGGTGGACACAACAGATAGTCCAATGTGGCTTTGCTAAAAACATGCTTGAGGGAACATGTGGTTAATATTGTTTTAACGTCGCTTAAATGGTATGTTTTGACGTCAAACTAAACTTACAAGTCGAATTACCACTTAGTGCCTGTAAGTTTCTTTTTACGTAAGTTTAGTATCCTAGTCAACATATTTAACTTTTGCTTTGGATAGTGGAGAAGCCAAGTCGTATCTTAATGATCTATGTAGAGAGATTGCGTTCATCCAAGGCTGATGGTAAATCCTTTGTGCTAAGTTCTAAACAAATTACCATGATACGAGGTGTACAAAAAATATTTTAACAAGTTCTTTAACACAGAAAACTACGTTGTTAACGTAATTGTAGGACACCCTGTTTACTGGACGATGACTTGCCCCATAATTAATTATATATATATATATATATTCGGAATGAATTATATAGAGATTACAACAGTGGTAGACTATTATATGTAAAGAAGATTATAATTATCAACATAACTTTATTCAACGTATATGTAACCGTAACATTTTGGTGGAAACGTGTGATGAGATGAACAAGATGTGGAAATAAAACTTATTTTTGGTAGAAATAGATACAGTTTCCGGAGAACAAACTAGATTTAAGTATGGAATCCAGGTGAGCCTAAAAGACGGTATAAGTCCAACCAAATTCTGGAATATTGTTTTTTTCCCGCCACATGCTGCTTGACGTCAAGCCTGTTTTAATCCGCTCCAGCTCATTCAGGAAGACTTTGTGAAAGTGCCGCAGTGCAGTACGTACTGCCTCAAGCTCTGTCTTCAGCTTGAGAAAAACAAAAACAAAACCGAAAAGCGCCAAATAGTTTCAGCTTCCATAAGAAGAAAAAAACTCTCTGGTCTACCGCTAATTCTTCACTGTTTTCTTTGACTGATGACCAGTGCTTATTCAGACTAGGCAATGCTGGCTTGAAAAATGAAGCTTACCTAGTTAGCAGCGGAAGTGGACCGAATCGCTACGGGTAAAGCCTTTATATATCTTGTTGACTGACATGCAATGTGTCGCTCTCGTACACTATCAGTAAAGATAGAGAAATTTCAAATAAGGTCCTATAAAAAAAAAGTAATGTTAATAATTCAAAATACCTCACACATTTCTCTTGTTTGTATCGTAAATGCAAATGATATTCTAAATAGACGAGTAAGTAAAGAAGCCCACGTTTTATGTACAATGTTGCGATTAATAGATTCTTTTTTTATTATTAAACTGATTTAAGAATGGAGCAACCATTGGAATTATAAATAACTATTTCTTTAATATACTTAAAATGAATTGATCCATCCATCTGTTGTTTTTCTTGTCACAGACACGAGTATGAAAGGGACTGAATCGTGACGCATCCACCAGTTCACAGCAGTTAACTGAAGAAAGAAAATGTGTTTGACTTATGGTTTTTTCCAAATAAGTCAAATTCGCGCATATGACATCACGAGTTTAACGCTTCCGGTAATTGGCTAAAAATAGAGGTAAGACAAATTCGGACTCATGTCTATAAAACTGCAATTTATAATATTAAATTATATATTTTAAATGAATTCAGGTTTATGCTGGGCGGTACTCTTTTTAGGATTTTATCAGTTAAGTTGTCATCGTGAAAATATTTGAAATTAGAAAACTACGAAGGAAATACAGTGGTAGGAAGGTTTATCTTTTCGATAATTGTGAACACAATTCGTGACTTGAAATTAAGTGGATTATCAAGTATTACTTCATGATATAAACTAATGTCAGACTCGTTGCACCATAAATGTCGTCCACATGTGTTCGAGGAGATTGATTTCTATATTATAAGACTGTCAGTTTAGATAAGATATGACCCATGAGTATTAAAACACGTGATAAGATTTTTTTATTTGATAAAATATATGACACCTGTTTACATATTCTCCTTAAATGTTCATAAAGCAGTTTCACTTTTCTAAATCAAATTCTCTACTACTGGAGCGTGCAAATTATCTAGGTAAGGTCTGAAAATGTTTATTGTTTGTAATTAGTCATTGACTAGAATTAAACCCATTTAAAATCCAACAATATAATTTAGTACATTAACTTGAGAGCATTTGGTGCGTCAGGAAACTTATTCAAGTTTTCTGTATTAAACGTTGTTAATGTTTCCTTCATATTTTTTTAGTTACAACAAAAGCCCTTGATCTCTGAATTTTACCTCCTTTCTCCGAGTAAGAACAGTTTCGAGAAATACCACTCTGTACCAGTAATGCTTGATACAAATAAATTAATTCAAAAATAATGTGATTTGAATTATGTTAATTGTGTTTTATTTTTTTTTCTTACACTAAAGATACATTAAATAGCATTTAAACAAATATTGTAATGTTATCAAAGAGAGAGCCGGTATTAATCCGTTAATTATCAGCAGTAATTCCATCGAATATAAAGTGTAAATTAAAAGCTTAGAGGCCAAAAGAATGGAAACATTTGATTTTAGTAATCTTTACACTAGTCTTTTTGATAATAAAATTAAAACGAATTTTTCATCAACGAGTTCAAGGTTTTTCAATAATTCTGGCAAATTAATGCTTTGCATTAGCAAACACAGATGTTTATATGGCAATGTTACCCATAAAAAAAAATTACACACGCTACATATTATGAACCGGACAACAAACTTGTGCAACTCGGTCAACATATATTCCAAGAAATACAAGGAATACGTATAGGAGGTAATTTCAACCCACACGTTGCACATTTATCTTTAATCGAATTTCAATGTTTACACATTACATTTCTTAGTAAGATAGATTATATTACAGATTCACACGTCAGTAACGCTTGAAGATATCCTGATGATGTTGTTATACCTAATTATTAATATTTTTTTGACATAGCCGAACAGAATTTTCCACCAGGACTCACTCGGACCAAACAAAAAAACCCTTTCACTGAAAGGAACACACATTCCTTGGATTTAGAGACGAGTTTCGTTAGTGAAACATTCAAGTTTAAAGTTCCAATGAAACATACACTTTTAATTAGTAAGTTATGAACCTTCCCTTCAATATTTATATTTCACGTAACTTATGTTACGATATGTTCAACTCACCCCCAAGTCCCCCCAGTGGCACAGCGGCACGTCTGCGAAATTACAAACATAGAAACCGGTCTTCGATACCCGTGTTGGGCAGAGTACAGATAGCCCATTGTGTAGCTTTGCGCTTAATTTCAAACAAGCAATACTACTCACCTATTACTAGATACAGCAGAATTTCTTCACCATTTTGATACCCATGGTGGGCAGAGTACAGATAGCCCATTGTGTAACTTTGCGCTTAACTTCGAACAAACAATACCACTCGCCCATTACTAGATACAGCAGAATTTGCTCACCATTTTGATACCCATGGTGGGCAGAGTACAGATAGCCCATTGTGTAGCTTTGCGCTTAACTTCGAACAAACAATACTACTCGCCCATTACTAGATACAGCAGAATTTGTTCAACATTTAAAGATGTCGTGGATCGAGCTCATGATCCCTTTCTAAACTTCAAACCGTTAGACGTGTTTAATATTTTCAATAAATAATATTAGACTCGAGGTCATAGTTCATTGGATGTTGTTATAATATTGTAGTTTCGAAGAGTAATTTGAGTAAGCAGGACCCTAAATCATTCAGTAAGTGTGTGTGTCTGCGTACATTCTTCATTCCAAAACTCTCTGTATGTGTATGTGTGTGTCTGTATTAAACTCCAAAGTTACACGTGTTCGTATGATCTATAATCCAAACCTTTATGTCCTGATAGCGTACAATCAAAACAGTTAGCTCAGCGCTACGCTTAAAGGCTTATAATGTTAAAATATGGGTTTCGATCCCGTGATGGTTACAGTGCAGATAACTCACTGTGTATCTTCGTGTTTAACAACAACAAAAATAGATCAATTTGGGCATGTTTAGAATCCAAAACTGGCACAACACTAGTTTAATATTTAAACTATATTTCCTTACAAGGATTATACAGAAGTTCCTAATCTGAAAACTTAAGGAACTGCTCATTCATATGTTTGCTTTTCTAGTATATTTAATCAACTACTTATGTACGACTGACGACAATGTTGAACAAAAGATAGCATAGCATGTCAAGAGGAAAATCTAATTAGGAAAAACATATATGTATAGAAATTTAATTGTAACATCAAACATTATTCCTAATTTATTCTGTTTTCCTTTCAGTAAAGAGTATAATTCATTTAGTTGTCAATTTAAAACATTTTTTTTTATGTGTGCCGCTTGGATAATTGAAATATTGCAAGATATTCCATGTTAGGAATATTTCAAGTTCTGTGTTTCTTGATGGAGAGTTAATTGAATCTATTACACATATATTGTCTGACCGACGTACACCTAATTTATTGACTATTGTTTCTAGTACCTCTGATGTGATATCGCGAAAATAAATGATACATCATTCGCTGCCTTGATGAATTATGGGGGAACTGTAACACAACACAAAACAACATGAAAGTCTTTTCTTAACGATGAATTCAAACATAATATAGAAACAAAGGGTAGCCAAGAAAAAAATTGAGTGTAAACAGCTTTATTAGTATTATTTACTTATTAAAATTAAAAAAAAGACAAAATATTCAAAACTTTATATAATGATAACTAACATGACACGTGGGACCGAAATGATTTCATTATGGATGAGAATTTTAAAATAAATATATTTGTGGCAACTGAAGGTTGAGTAAGAGATGTCTTCACCTATTTTTTTTATTCTAATTAGAATATTGCGCTTTGGTAAAGTTATCATTTACTAAATTTGAATTAACTGATTTTCTTTTCAGTTCTTAAATAACTAAAACTGCACAGATGGTCCTTATGATAAAAGGACCACATGCCTAAGAGCGTGAGCCCATGGCTCCTTTCTCGGAATTGCCGATAACAAAGCTGTATATAATTAAAAATATTCAGAAACCCATCTATTCCTGTGGTCTGTGTAAATACTGCAGGCGCTTCGAAGAACGTAATAAAGTATTGAATAAAATTTTCCATATTAAATTTGTAGTTAAATTCCATCAAGGGCTCACCAAAAGCGTATGTTAGAAAAAAAAAACAACTCTAAAAAGCATGTATTTACTTTTACCGACGGAACTGGTCCTCAAACAAAAATAATCGAACTTCAAGTTTATTAACTCAGGTAATCTGGCAGGGGTAAACCAGATTTTTATTTATTTTAATCACAAATAAAAAATATTTTATTCCAAACTATTAAAAAAAAAAAACGTTTGTTTTAGGGAAAAGCCACATCTTCTGGGTCAGCCGCGGGAATCGAATTCCGAACTTTAGTGTTGTAAGTCCGTAAATTTACCGTTGTCCACCAGGGAACCACAAAAATAGAGCTGATGTTTTTCATTTCGAGTACACTTTTTTTTTTTAAAATAACATTTTACTTTGAAGTCTAAGTAGCTACGTCTTTCAATATTTTTCTTTCAGTTCAAATAGTTATGATAATTATGAAAACTGTATAATTCGTAATAATCTTACTGAATTTGGTTTCCAATTTATAATTCGTTTCCATGTACATATGTTACACAAATAGTTTCTTTATTTCTTCACCTGAACGACAGCTTGTGGACACAAAGGAATGAAATCCCAAGGGTTCATATATAGTCAATCTAATATTGAACTTCGGATCAGAGAGTTTGTTTGTTTTAGAGCAAAGCCACGTTGGGCCATCTGTTATGTCCACCGCGGGGAATCGAATCCCGGATTCTAGCATTGCAATCCGGAAACTTACCACTGTCCCACCGAAGGACCAGACGAGAGAGATGACAACCAGTTGGTAGCACCCGCCCCCTGAAGCAGCAATTCTTAACCGAATATCTCGATGGGCTGTCATTCTTTTCTTATAACGCACCCTCATTTGAAAGTGCGAAGCATGTCTTGTAACACCAAGTCTCGAACCCTAGACCTTATGTTTTACCAGTTAAGTACCATTTCAGAGGCCATTTTTAAAACAATAAACAAGTTTAAACAAATAAACAATTTGAAATAGTTATAAAGATAAGAATACCAATTAATCGGTGAATTTTTATCAATCAATAAATACATTCATTCCGAAAATAAATGACTTATGAAAACACCAACAAAAAACAAAACAAAAAACAGCTTTCAAAGAAATATAACTTCTGAAACTCTCTTAGGTGGTGGGATTGCAACAAATCTAAGTTTGTTAACAAGTGTCACCAGTGGTGCGTTAAAATAAATAAATTCTGTAGGCGATTTTACGAATATAATAAAATACCGAAAAGAGTATTGGATAAAAATTTCCATTCTAAATATGGAATTTAATTTCATGAAGACTTACCAAAAACGCGTAAAATTATAAACAAGATTAAAGGCTGGTGTGCATTTATTAATAAAATATCTGCACATTACTGTATTTTAACAAATATTATATGGCTGGGTGTGTCCTAGTGGCTAGTTTCTCGGGTTGCGGGTCTGAAATTTCTGGGTTCTCACTTCAATGCCACCAAACACACTTTCCACTTTCATCCTCGGGTTGCGTTATAAAGGTGACTGTCAATGTTATATGTAATACCTAATAAATTGTGAGTATTTAACGCTGAATAAACAAAAAATGGCATGTTCCATGTCGTCTGGAGTGGAATGTATGCACGAGATAGGAGTAGTTTTGGTTTCAAAATAAAATAAATTTAATGGGAGGAGAAAAGCACCCCCTCTGTAGCAAGTTACTGATCTATTAAAAAGTTATTTTTTTAAACAAATATTAAATCAGGAAATAAAGTTTTGGTTTACCCAAATGTTAGTATATTCAAATTTCTGAAACCTGTGTAATACTACAACTGTTTTTTAGCTCTAAACGTCGAAGTTATTTTACAGTTTTATTTTCAATGAAGCCCTTCTAATTATAGTGCCTTTCCATTAATGTACCATTCCAAAGTGAGGTCTAAATTGTTATATTGTTTGCATGCTAAAAACCATTCAGGTTCATTACCTCACTGACGGATAGCCCAAAGTTTCATCAAAAAGCAAGAAAAATCATCTAGAGTCCAATGTTGGAAAAGGGAATCATTATATATGTTCTTAACTTATATCGCCGAACATTTAAACATTATATATCTTCTTAACTCGCATCGCCGAACATTTAAACATTATATATCTTCTTAACTTGCATCGCCGAACATTTAAACATTATATATGTTCTTAACTCGCATCGCCGAACATTTAAA